AAAGGAAGAAGCGCTATGTCCCCATAGCTAATGAAGCACTAATAGTTAAAACTTAAATATTAGTTCAGAGTGACTGATTTTCTAACCTTCCAAGAGAAGTGATGGCTCAAACACATCAGTAAAAGCAAGATATATATTCTAAGTAATCCAAACCAAGTCTGCACTTTAAATCTACTAGCACGGACTTAGAGAATGAAAGCGACATGTACTCCGCTGTGTAAACTCATGAATTATTGTCGTCAATGAACCAAAACACGTAATTGCAGTCACTGACAACTCCAACTACCCCTAAAAAATACACTTTCCATTAGATGGCAGTGTGAGGATGGATTTAAAACTTCTAAAAAGGGCTAGCCCCAAGCCACAAGACCCAGGCCTATAGTTTAATGGTGAGACATAAAACTAACAGGAATGGTCTTAACACCTCAGCACTTGCTTTCCAGTATGAGAACAGTTTGCAGCAATGATCCATGCAGCATGCAAATCAACAGGAATCATTCCAAGAACATTCTCACCACCGCACATACAGTGAGGCCTGGTTGCAGTTATACTATTTGCATTGAAGGAAACACATTTTCTTGATTTGGCAGATGGAAGACAGAAGGAGGAGACTAATACAGTGAAAGTGGGTGTTGGTAGTTCTTTTGAGTGTGTTTATGCTATACTCATTTCTTTTAGCTTTACATTTTTAGCAACACTGTTTACAGTATTGTATTAGATATTATAAATTTGTTTTTGGTTGTTTCTTTTTGTTCTATTTGATAGTTTCTGGACTTAGGCACTATCGCAGCCCACCTATCTACTTTTATAAAAATTCTAAAGGAGACTGAGGCTCAGTGGCTCATGTTCGTAATCCTAGTACCCTGGGAGACCAAAACAGAAGGATCACTTAAAGCCAAAAGTTCAAGACCAGCCTGGGCATCAAAGCGAGACAGCATTTCCACAAAAATTTTAAAAAACAGACAGGCATGGTGGCGTGTGCCTATAGTTCCACTTACTAGGGAGGCTGAGGCAGGAGGATAACTTGTGCCTAGGAGTTCGAGGTTGCAGTGAGCTATGATTGTGCTACTACATTCCAGACTGGATGACAGAGCCAGATGCTGTCTCTTTAATTAAAAAAAAAAAAAAAAAAAGCCCCTTTTCCCTTTTCTAAATGTAGTGGGAAAACCGCTACCTTTTTTGTTGGAAAGCCCCAAACTGATTAGATGAAAACTGCATTGCTCATAAAACCCATGTAGAGATAAAATAGATATTGCATCGATTGACTACCCTAGGCAGCCATTCCCAAGTAGTAATTCATCAAAAAGTTGGAGATCATATATAAAAACAGGGCAAAGTTCCATTCTTCTGCCCCTGCTCCAATATACATACTGTCTCCAAAACATTACCTATAAATAAGCAATTGAGTATTAATTTTAAGAAACAAAATCTAGTGAGACTTAGTATCAATGTTTTACCTTCTTTTTTGGTTTAAATAGTTTGTCTCCATTTTTTTTTAAGTCATGTAAAGAAAACATACATTTGTAATAATCAGCATCATGAATCAGAAATACAAATCTTTTACAAGCAAATGCTAGTCTCAATTCAAAGTGAAGTTATTTTTCTGAGCAATTATAACATTTTTACAAGTATCATAGCACCACGTGTGCAAAAACATCAGTTAAAAATTTAGGATATGAAGGATTTTAACAGTTAAAGGCAGCCAATAAATGCCAGTTGTTAAACTTATGGGCTGAAAGATGACAGTATGCAAGCTGGGTCCACCAATAAAATATTTATTAAACTCTGACTTACACCAAAGAGCAAGAAGGAAACTACATTTTGTTACTCTCACTTGCTTTTTCATATTCAGCTGAACTAGCCACAACACTACAGGCACCTCATTGTTCCAGTTTGTACACTGGACTATTAGCTGTAGAGAATTTCCATGAACATTCACACTGTAAACACCAGAAGCTGATTTACCTTCCAAATGTGGCCTCGCCACTTTAGTCTCATAATCCATTGGGACCAGAGCATTTTATGACATGCACTCATAATTCTTCAAACTTTCTTAATATCTTTCAACAAATAATATTAAAACCCAATTATTCCTTCTCTAATGACATTTGTGAAAAATAGGTCCTCTCAATAGACTTTTAATTATAAAAGAAATCCCTGAAGGACATTAATAAACAGAAATAAAAGACAGACCCCAAGGATTCTAATCTGAATACACCACCATTTTCTATGGAGACTGAATCATTTATCTAAAAAATATTACGTGAGTTAGAGAAATAAAACCCACACCAATATTTCATAATCTGTTTTTCCTTTCCCTTTTTCTTTCTCTAAAATAAGATTTCTCTGAGGTCAAAGAATTCAATAAGATAAATGCAGTTTTCATGATAGTATCTTAAAAAAAAAGAAAACAGAAACTTGGAAAGGCATTTTTCTAGCCAAAACCATTTCTCTTCTCTTGGGTTCTATACTTCTTCCTACCTTCATCATTCAATTTCTTGCTTTCTGGTGTTTCTATCTTGTCTTTCTTTTGACAGGAAAAATTGCAAAAGACTTTTAAATGGACAAGAAGATGGCTGGATGTCCTCTCTCTGTCCACAGGGCCCTCCCCGTGCTCTCAGATGCTGCAGGAGCTGTGCCTTTCTCTGTCGATGCTTCCCTTGTGTCTGTGATAGCGACACAGGAGCCAGCCTGTGGGGGACTGATGCTGCCGCCAGGGCTTGCTGTCCACAGAGAGGCACAGGAGGTGAGGATGCACCTGATACCCACGCAGAAGTGGCGGCTTTCCATCTTCCAGCACTTCTCGTTGCCTACTATGTCTCTGCCCTGGACTGTCCTTTGAACTGGTTTTAGTATCGTATTGGCTCTCCCATTATTTAATGAGTTAGCTAAAAGCTCTGACATCTATTCATTTTATATTTGTAGGAGAATCATGAATTTCCCTTTTTCAAAAATTATCCTTTAACACTTTACATGATCCCATGCATGAGCAAACATTTCTGAAACTTATGTACAGCTGGAAAGAAAAATTTAATTTTATTTCCATGTAAGTACTTCTTGAATAAATGTGTGTATTATTTTTAATTTTCAATATACTTAATTATCCTATACCCTTAAGTCATTTAAAAAAACTTTTCCTAAGTGGCAGAGCAATGAATAGCAGATATACAAAAAGAACAAAGAATCCTAGTAATAATGATGAACTTTTATTAGATATTTGCCATGTTCCAAGTGTTTACCTGTATTAACTCACTGAATCCTCACAACAACCCTAAGAAATGGGTACTCCATTTTGCACCTGAGGAAACCGAGGCCAGGAGTAGTTAAAGTAACTTACTCAAAGTTACAGAGCTAGTTAAGTGGTAGAGCCCAGCCTCAAACTGGGAGAGCATGGCTCTAGACCAAACTAAACTACCTCTCAAAGAGAAAAAAAAGAAAAATTTAAGAAAGCTGAACACATTTAGCACGATTATTCCTCGCTGCTGCTATCAACATCACCAAAGGATGATCATGAAACACACAATGCCATGAGATAGTTCAAGCCAAACCTCCTTCTGGGAGGCAGCAGCAGCAGGAACGAGGAAGACAGTCAAAGGCTGAAGGACATGAAGAGGCACAGAAAACAAATGGGGTGGGTTATTAAATGCCAGAATACAAATTAAGGAAATCAATTTTATGATAATAAACATCAGAATGAATCCTACCTTTGATCATTTTGTCTACAAAATGTCTCATAGAAAAAGAACACAATATCCCCACACTCCTTTTGCCAGTGTACAAAACTAGCTCTTGGCGGAACAGCCCGAGGCGCCCTCGTGCTCCACGCTTCTGTGGCAGCTTTGGAAAGAAGCTCAGGAGTACTGAAGCAGACTTAAAGGGTTGACTATCAACTGCAAAACCTATCCATGCTTGAACTGAGCTCTATTAAATACCTAGCTATTCTTTTCTGGACTTCCTTGGTTTTTAAATTCTTCATTTATAAGGCACCCAAATCCTTAAAACAGCTCTAGAGTGATTCATAGTGCCAAAGCGCGTCAAAGATGTCATGCAGGACAGTTTAAGCACACTAAAAGCCGCTAAGCCCCGGGACCTTTTCAACACATGATGCATTCTCAAGACAAAAGGGCTACCTCCCTCTTAGCCAGCAGTAAACTGCCTTGGCAGAAAAGAAACTCGCTAATTGAATTACTAATGATCTTCAAGTATATATAAAGATTAGTGGAAAATTTTCCCCATTCACAGAAAAGCCTAAAATAAAACTATGATTAAAATATTAGTAGAATTAATTTATCACCTTCAGTAAGTGTTTATGGAGCAGCACTCAGTATATAACTCCATAAGCAGAATAAATCCCTAAGGCCAGAAAATAAATTATAGGCATAATTAATATGTTAGATAAATAGTTTAGATATGAAGGTACTAACTGTAAAAGTTACTAAAACACTATACTAGGGATTAAAAAACCAAAACTCTAGATTTGTATATAAGAAATCATTTACCTGGCATCAATTTCAATGATCAAAGCTAAACATTTCTGGACTAAGTAAGGATTATGGGCAGGAGTTATAAACAAAATTAAAGATCAGAATGAAACTAATTATTCTAAAATATTTCTAGAAAAATCAAGTAATAGATTATAAATTCTATTTTGACTTCATGTACCACCTAAATATTAAAACTACTAACTCCATGTAACATATTAATGCTCTAATCATTAAAAGCATTAGTTATTAATATTTGAAAGACTTTTCCCCCCCACAAAATGCAGACTCAAAAAACTAAAGAGGTAAGTAGCTTTTGCCAAAAATTTTAACTGATTGCAACATTCACCTACAGCAAAGCTGACTGAACAGGCTTCATAGATAACACCCGTCTCCAAACAATTGAGGTGTCTTCAGTTGTACTTCCTGGGATGTTTCTGGATTTTGAGTCCCTTTACTGTACATACACAAAATTTTTTGGCATCTGAAAAATAAAACTGAAAGCAAGACAGTACTCACTTTTCAATCTCAATGCCAAGAGGATTAGCAGGACGCAGTGACAAGGGAGGAATTCCTTTATTCCTGTCAGTACGCATATCATAATAATTCATTTCATCTACCCACACAGCAGACTGATCCAAAATGCCTACAAAAATGAGGAGCATAGTCTCAGTAAGATGAAAATCCCCTTAGGTACCTTCTTGGTCTTCCCATTTTGCTTTGCTTCTTAAGGATCTAATACAAAATGCCTGTTAGATAAATTTGAAGAGATTTGAGGGCATAACAGCTCAGAATTTCTTTTTAATGACAAGTGGCTTAATTTTTAAAACACTTAGAATCTAGAAAAAGGCAAACATAACACCAATTGGCTTATGATCTCATTGTATGTTATTCAATAAAGAAGACAAATTAAGCCTCTGAGAAAAAGTTCTGCTAAAACAAATGTATTTTACAAATAATAAATAACAATAATTACATATACATGGGTAAATATAATTGATTAAATTGGTAAAACAAATCTAGAAAGTTGGTATATAAGATGCAATGATATGATCTATAATATCTGTTTATTTAAGAGAATATTATAAAATCATATAAACTTTTGGCTGGGAAATACCTAAGCACAAAACATTCAAGTTAAAAATTAGTTCACTAGAAGTTGTCTTGTTTATAATTACTGCTGAAAAATCATTTTGCATATATGATTTTATATTTAATAATTTGAGTTTCTTCTTCTGGGTTCCATATGCTATCTAAGATATTACAGTACAGATGAAAACCAAATATTTCTTAAATGGTTCTTGGAAATTCTTAAGAAATATCTTTCATTTTCTTTTCCTCTACAAACACTGACATATTTTCATGAATAGTTATATAAAATAACATATCCCTTGCTATTTCTTATTCTTTTTACTATTATTAATGCTAGAAATGTTCTAGATAGTAGAAATAGCAGGTTTTTACCATATTATGCTGAAGTCAATTTGGTAAGTTCAACAATTAAATCAGTCAAATACCTTTCAAGGAAAGCAAGGCCTGAATAATGGAAATGACTAGGTAATTCAGGGAAAACTGACTGAGTGTGGACCAGAAGAACAAGACAATCTCTAAAAATAGCATCTTCCTTTGTGTGACTGAGCTCTTTATCATTCAACTCAGCACAGGACTTACCAGCTACCACCTCCAGGACCCTGGCCACTACAGAACAGGGGCCAAGTGCCAGGGAGCACAGAGGAAGTGTGCCCACCTCTGTCAGGCAGCTTGGGAAAGTTTCCTGAAAGAAAGCTAACTGAATACCAGGCAACTTGCAGCTGCACAATCCTCTGTGAACCCACTAATTCTCTCAGCACCCACGGTTCTGCCAGCATGTAACAGGTGGCTTTGTCAAAAGCTATGCTCAAGTCCAGACACATTTGAATTCACTTCAATAAACTTTTACTGAGCCTACTATGTGCTAGGTCCTGGGCTGGGTGTTTTAGAATAAAATTATTATATTCACAGTAGTTTTCTTTACCTGCTGTATAAACATGTTATAAGAAGATAATAAATTTTATCAAAATGTTTAATTTCCTCCAGAAAACTGTACAACTTCCTGCTTTCATCTCATAGTTCAGTTTTTGAAGATATTAAAAAAAATGAAAATATATTTATATATGTACATATGTGAGCATATACATATACATATAGATAAATTCCACTTTGAATTTTCCCTTAAATTCCTTAAATTTGTATTTATTGAAAAAAATTCTAGGAATTTGTAGAGAATATGCTGTAGAAAGGCTCTAGGCTCTGAGATTAAAAAAAAACAATTTGCAAAATTCTTTACTTTTTTGTATCAAAAGAAGTACTGCCTGGGTTTAATTATGCCTATGATAGTCCTACCTTACATAATATTTATCAAGTACTAACCATGTGCAAGACATTACAGGACCACAAAGATGAACCTGACATTACTCTAGTAAGGGAGAAAGGCATGCACAGAAATGGCTATAGGAAAATAATGACAAATTATTAATGTACTATGTAAGGGACCATGCTAAGCACTTTATGTTCTAACTCATCCAATATTACAAAGTAAGCAATGTTGTTATTCCACTTTCATCCCCAAAGAAATGAGGCAGTAAAGCCACACAGCTAGTTGTGATGAGAGCCCAGGTTAGAATTCAGAATATGGCCCCTCAGACCAAGTTTCTAACGCTGCTGACACAAGGAAGCAAGTGGTAAGTGTACAAAACAGGAAAACATAAAGCACTGTGGGGTTCAAGGAAGACTGATTATTACTAGTGTGGAGGGCTAAAAGCAGAAGGAAGCTAGGCAACATTTCACCCGAGCCTCGAAGGATGAAGAAAAGGAAGGAAAAGGAAACATTATTTAGATAATATTATTGCTAAAATGCCAAATTAAAAGTATATTTCACCTCAAATCTTAATTGTATAACAGTTTAAAAGCAATGTCATTATAGTCTAGATCAAGGAACCAAAACTAGTATATCAAAATGTTACATGAACAGACTTTATTAAGAACTTAGAAAGACAGTCCTCTTACAATCATCAGCCTTAGGTCTTCCTGACTGTGAGCTCAACAAACTGACATTTCAACAATAATCAAGTAATAACCGATGTTCCATTCCTGTCGAAATAAACATAAACTGAATCTAAATTGAGATAAGAGAGTAGGTAAATTTCATATGAATCTAACAGTTGTACATTTTTAAAAAACCTCATTTTTACTTTTTTCTTTAGAATAAAGTCATGAAAGAATTTACCTATTTTTTCAGGTTTGAGTAGCTTGAAAGAGACCGTTGAGGTTCCTCTGCCACCTGACTTGGTTGTGACAATAATGTCTCCTTTGTCATTTTTAGCTTGACCCACTCGACACACTATTTTACTTGCGGACATCCATTCTGCTGTCAGGAGGCAATTATGTCCACAAATTGTCAAGCCTGAAAATGAAAGCATGCACATAACAAAGTTCAAAGGTAAGAACAATAATAAGACCTTAAACATGTATGTTACATTAAAAATCCAGAAATAACATTTCCTTGTTCAATAGTTGTATTTATTATTAAATATACCCAATATTATTTGTAAATATGCTATTGTCTTCATTGATTTTTTTTAATGTTTTTCTCTAATATTTAAGACTTCTTTTATACTATATTTAAGTTTAGTGAAACATCAGTGGAATAAGAAAATAACTGACCACAATAATTATGTGTAGGCATTCCAGATTACTTTGACTATGAGGATCTTAAATTGCTTTTAGAGGTATTGGAAGGGAAATGACTGCTATTATTAGAAGTCTAAGTTATTAATGTTAGAATTTTAAAGTGTATTAATAAAATTTACATGTCATTCCCTAAAAACATTCTATATTCATCCATCTTCCTGAAAATAATCTGCATGTACTTTTTCTAGTGTTCAATTATACACGGTATTACAGAATGAACTAAAGTAGACACTTTATGTATGTTAGGCATAGCCTATGGTAAATACAGTGAAATGTTCTCAGGCATTATTGGATTATCTCATTTCTTATATCTACATATGAGTTCCTAGAATAGTAGTTTCTGCTGCCTTAGTGTTTTCCTAATGAAACTGTTACCACGCTACATTCTGCTCTTACAGTAAACCCACGCTCCCAAAATGTCAACTCATGATGTCACCTTCCCCATACCATGTAAATTAAAATTTAGGCAATAACCAAACAGGGAGGCACCAAAATATTGTAGTGAGTTAGGCATGTCCCCCAGGCAGAACACCAGTATTCCACTACACTGGCCAGCTAATCTTCTAACTTATTTCCTTTGCATTTTCCATTTCTGTAAAACAAAGACCAATGTAATAAATACTTATGGAGAAAATAAACTAGAATGTATGTGGCATGGGCCCAGACACTTCATACTTTCTTTTCTCTTTATTTGACTTTGCATATTGCTCAGCAGTCAAGTTTGGCAAATACAATGATTTTTTTCAGATACCACAAACACCTCAACTAATGCCAAATCTGATTTTTTTAAAAGGAGGGAAAGATTCAAGTCATCTTTTATTGCATCTTAAAGTACTATTTAGTAAGATTGTTATACTAGCCATAAAGGAATAAAAACAACTACATGTTTAAGATACATTTATACTGCTTGAAATAATGAATTTTAGGGGCTTTCCTAAAACATCTATTATTTATTCATGTATGCAACCTTTTTTAATAATAGCATTTAAAGGTTCCTTTGGGACTAAGTCATCCATTGGTATTTTTTAAATGTATATTTTTAGATGCATTCATAATTTAAAATTATTTTTTCAAATGGGAATATCTTTGATATCTTTTCTGAGAACCAATTTTTGTTATAAAAAATTTAAACAATTTAAGAGACTGAAAGGCTCTCCAAACCCCACCTCCCAAGAGAAATACTGCTAACACTTCAATGATCATTTGCTCAAATAATTTTATGTGTACACAGACTAGTCTATATATTTTTTAAATAAATGTTTTAATATGTAACCTGCTTAATAACAAATGGTGGATATTTTGGTATCACTCCATGTCAATATATAATTCAGTATTTTTAAATTTTTTAATATCAAAAAGATTCTTGTGATTTTAAATATAAACTCACTTCAGAAAAAAAAAATAACTCAACAATTAATGTCAGGGCATAATGTAAAGATACAAGTAGTATCTTCATTAAAAAGAAAGAAGTCATTCCTAATATAAGTTTCTTACAAGAGAACTATCCTAAGATTAAAACCAAGGAGTAGGAGCAGAGTTCAAATTTATAGACATAAAGTCTTAAAAACATGTGCACATGAGCAAACATGAGTGATACCCATGAAGGTACAGTTGGCACAAACCACCCCAGAATAATTGTTCATCTGGTCAAAGCTGTTTTCAAGATTCCTCTGATCTAGTATCTTATCTGTATTTTTACTCCAAAATATAAATAATCCAAACAGATTCAAATACATCATTTTGAATGTGATGAAAATAAAATCATAACACCTATTTCTTGATTTCTGAAGCATATTTTTGCTAAGTTACTTAACACTAAGAAATATGCTTTATAAAGCATATCAGAGGTCTTCAAACTTTTTAAACAGGGGCCAGTTCACTGTCCCCCAGACCGCTGGAGAGTGTGCACTGTGGGCCCGGGATGAGTCGGCTGCTAAGCAGGACAGGCAGCGGCGGCAAAAACACCAAAAACACCCGGAGGGCAGGATAAATGTGCCAGGCGGCCCACATGTGGCCCGCAGGCCGCAGTTTGAGGACGCCTGATTATATTCATAATAATAGTACCTTTTTAAAAAAGTAACTTGTAGAATTCCAAGTAAAGTACTTTTTATAATATTTTCTTGGCTAATGTATATATCATCTGAGTTTAAAAGATTTAAATTATTTAGCAGATTAAGTTTTATTTTTTTTAAATGGTTTCCTGGACATGAGGCAGGTTGTAAGGTTAACTAGCGATGTAAAAGTAATACATATTTAGTCAAGTAGAATAGTATTGCCTGAAGCTAAAAGATGATTAAAATTTATACAGACTAGCAACTGTCATGTTCAGGAGCTCACAACGACTGCCAGTTAAAATCTGGGGCATCACCTCCACCTGTATAGTAGCTTTCCATGAATTCTGGGGAATTTTTCCACTTGGGTAAAGAAAACATCAGGAATGAGCTATGTCAAAAACCAAGACATAGGATTATATAAGACTACATTTGCAAGAATAAATTTAAACAATGTTTACTAAAGAACCAAAAAACATGGTTAGAGAAAATAATATAAAATGAGATGTACTTAAATAAAGCAAAAAGAAATATAGCAAAAAGAAATAACTGGGAAGTGCAAAACTCAGTTATCAAACATAGTTCTGAGATCCAATTCACTTTTTTTAAAGGGTTTTCTGGATAGCAAAAACCCAATCTATCAACCAGCAGCTATGATTCAGGAAAAGCAAGTTCCAACTCATAATCTCAAATTACCAATGGGTCCCTCATCAGTTCAGAAATGAGTCAAGAGAATGTCTGAGTCCAGAATAAATTTAAGTGGGAAGCCAGACTATGCATTCAGCAGCATGTCCGGTTCTTCCCTTCCCCATCTGAATGCATCTGTATACCCACAGGGGGAGTTCACAGGCATATAATCCTACTTGACCATAAAATTACATTTAAAATTTGTTCCCACCCTGGGTGTCCTTGACGCCCATTTATATTTTAGAAAACAATGTTTACGTTCCATCTTCAGAGACTAAGACTAAGCAGGCCAGAAAATTTATTTTTAAAGTTCTAGAAAGATTCAGACAAGCCAGGGCTGAAAAGCACTGACAGACATGAATGCTTCAAGAACAGGCCAGAAGCAAAGGTCCCCAAATCATGGAGCTGGGGGAAGCATGCTATGCATGCCAACATCTAAAAATATTTACACCGTGCCAACTGTGTATGTTGATAGAACTGTATTCTAACATCCATGTCCTTGAGCTTAAACTCTACTAGAAAAGATAAAAAACACAAACCGATCCTAAAAACTAACTTTGGCTTGCTTTATATGGGATGCACAGGTCACAGAGAGGATCTAAGTCTGGCAAGTGGTATGAAGGTAAGAGCCAAGTGGTGCCCACCTCACCAGGAGATGGGGTTTAGTTTCCTTTGAGAGGCAATAAGGAACAGAAGAGGCATAATTTACAGAACACTCGAGAAAGAACAGTTGTATAAGGGAAGAAAAACCAAAGAGAACAAAAATACAGAGATGGCTGTTTTGGCAATCTAAGGGATCGAAGCTGAGGAATCAGAGGTGAATCTCAGCCATGGGAAACTTTCCAAAGGACTTTCTTTAAAAGGCAATATAGGCCGGGCGCGGTGGCTCACGCCTGTAATCCCAGCACTCTGGGAGGCTGAGATGGGAGGATTGCTTGAGCTCTGGAGCTCAAGGCCAGCCTGAGCAAGAGCGAGAACCCATCTCTACTAAAAATAGAAAAATTAGCCAAGCATGGTGGCACATGCCTGTAGTCCCAGCTACTCAGGAGGCTGAGGCAGAGGGATGGCTTGAGCCCAGGAGTTTGAGGTCACAGTGTGCTATAATGATGCTACTGCACTCTAACTAGGGTGACAGAGTGAGACCTTATCTCAAAAAAGAAAAACAGCAATATGGGTAAGATTTGATAAAATAAAAATATCAGAAAACCAAATATTTTCTTCATTTTTTTTCAGACAGTTCTGTAGTGATCCAATTATGTTTTTCTAAAGGACTTAAAAGGCACTTCACTATTTCAAAGTAAGGTATCTTGTCTCACTTACCCCACATAAAAATACATTTGCCAGGGTGCATGGCAGAGTCCTTGCCCTTACCTATGAGGTCGGTGGGGCCAGTGCCCAAGTTTTCTCCTCTGATTGTGACCTTCGTCCATGGTATTCCTTCATTTGGAGAGATGCCTGTCACAAGAGGGGGTTGCCTTAATCGAGACATTGTGTTTCCTAGAACTAACTGGTAATCCAGTTATAGAAGTAACCTGCTAAAAAAGAAAGGAAAAAAAAAGATTAGTGTCAGCTGAGATAAGCATGGACTAAAAATATAAGAATGCTAGGCATTCAGTACCTAAATATAAAAAGTATGCTTAAACACAGTTCTGATTTTTTTAGCTGTCATTTAGCCAATCAGCCAACATATGCTGAACATTAAGTTACTAAGTTACTTAAGTTACTAAGTATTAAGTACTAACACTCTTGTTAGTATTGTGTTAGTATTGGGAGAAACATAAAAGAATAAAGGAAAACTAAGCCCTTGGTTCTAAAAACTTCCTGTGTTAATGGCAGATAGGACCTAATGTCACTATTTAGCTTCATGCCTACCTTTGCTGAAGCCTAAATAGATACTAGGAACTATTAATATTTTACTATTCTACTCTCAAAGTTATTTAAGGAAGACACTTTGATTAATTATATGCAGAAAAATTAAAATACATTTATAGTCCCATAGGAGTACTGAATCTCACCTTACCTTGTATTTATGTAGTATAACAACTTTGTTTTTAAATGTGCTCAAATCAGTGCAGTACACCGACATTTCTACAACACCTAAAATGTAGACACACAGGCACCAGCATGAATTTGCTCACTGTTGTGAGTATAGCAGAGTTGGTACAAGGGCAGTTTCTAAGGTAAACAGACCTGTGTTCAAGTACTGGTGCTCCAATTCACTAATTCTGTACTAAACATCTGCTTTTTTGTATGTAAAATAGTGCTAACAATAGAACTCATTTCATAAGGTTATTGTAAAGATTATATAGGATAATTCTCAGAAAGCTCTGTTCCTAGCATATAGTAGGCAACCAATAAATAATAAAACCTCACTAATAAACCCTACAGAGCCCAAGTGCTCAGGGCATGCCCCAGAAGGCAGGGATGAGGCTCAGAGCAGAACAGTGAGAACCTTAGACACCTGGGCCCCACCTCCACCTTCAACAGTCAGTCCAGTGATCAGAAGTTTAGTCCCTGGGCCCGGCACATGGCTCACACCTATAATCCTAGCACTCTGGGAGGCCGAGGCGGGAGGACCGCTCAAGCCCAGGAGTTTGAGGTTGCTGTGAGCTAGGCTGACATCATGGCACTCTAGCCCAGGTGACGGAGTGAGACTCTGTCACACACACAAAAAAGTTTAATCTCTGAAGAAACCAAATAAGAGGGCCAGGCCTCAGATAGCCTCGCACAGCAGGGGTATAGGAGGGTTGGGGGCAGGCTAAACACAGGAACTGGGGTAAACCTGAGCAGCAAGCCCCTGGGCCCCTCAGGCCTCTGCCCCCTCCTGCCCTCACAGCATTGTCTGCCTATACCACCGGTCCAGACAACTACATTGTCATCCTCCAAAGAAACTAAAGAGCCCTAGGGAAAAAAGGCCCAAAGATCCTGACATGTTAAGTGTCCCCCCAAAAAGGAAGGGCTGTTGGCCTTCATACCACCTGATAGAAAAGCTACTCAGAGGCAAACTCTGGCCAAACACAAACTAAATCATATCAGCGGTTAACAGCCCCACCCTAAACTGCAGAAGGTGTAGGGACATGTGGGAAAGCTACCCTTCTACTTTGTAAAGGCCTGCTGAAAATGAACCGAGGCAGAATAGAAAAAAGAGACATACAAATTGACTTCACATGCCTAAGCGTGGGGGAACTGCAGAAGGATGATTACCTAATAATAACCCGGTGAGGTCCAGATGCTTATATACCCTTCTTCATAGGGGAAGGGCAAATGGGGGAAAGGTGGCCATTTTGAGGGGTAGTAAATAATTCTTAAGAGGAAAAAATATTGCACAGATAATAGTAAGTAATCCTCTTTGGAAACTGAATGGGATCTGAAAATAGACAACTATTTGGACAAAATATGGGCTCCAGCCGTGAAGCTTGATTTTCAGTCTCTTTCTTTGTGATATGAGTTTTAATCTTCTCTGGTTAAGGAAATTTCAGGGAGGAGATCAAAGGCAATAGTGTTCCTCTTTGATAGGTCCAGTTTCAAGGTAGGTAAGGAGACTTCAGAGAGCAGCCTCATCCTGTGCCTTGGGAAAGACTGGGGGCAAGAGGGGGTGTCAGAGAGACCTTGGGGCTGCTTCTTTAGTTTACCATGTTAAAAACTATATTAGAGTATCATTTTCTGAGCCCCAACATTGGACAGCCAATAAGAGTGAAAAAAAAAATGTGTAAGACAGAAATGGAAGACAAACAAGAAAAAAAATCCAGAATAAACAGATATTGCAGGTATTAAATGGGTTGAACTATGCCCTGCCCCTCTCTAGCTGCCAAATTTTGTATGTTGAAGTCCTCAGCCTCAGGACCTCAGAATGTGACTCTATTTGGAGATAGGGCTTTAAAGAGGTAATAAAGGTAAAATGAGATCATATGGGTGGGCCCAAATCTGACTGGTGTCCTTATTAGGAGAGGTATTTGGACACAAATATCCCTACAGGGAAGGCCACATGAAGACACAGGGAGAAGACGGCCACCTACAAGCCAGAGATAAGGCCTGGAACAGATCCTTCTCTCATGACCCTCAAAAGATACCAGCCTGCTGACACCTTGATGTCACACTTCCAGCCTCTAGAATCATGAGAAATAAGTTTCTGTGGTTTAAGCCACAAAGTCTGGGGTACTCTGGCATGGAAGCCCTAGGAAATACTGCAAGTAACAGAAAAAAAACAGTCTTCCAAACTTTGATTCCAAATTAATATGTGCAGAGAGAGAAATTTTTTACACTTAAAAGAACTGGATGCCAGAATAAAAGCTCTTGAAACTTTCAAAAAGTCAAAAGAAACAAGATTTATACAGTCCTTATAAAGAAAGAACTGACCACTGGTTGAACCAAAGATGTAATAAGGCCATGAAAGGCGGATATGTGTTTGGGAAGCAGAGGAGGGGGATGAAAAGGGGAATGATCACCTTTTATAGCCCATAATGGGAGATTGATAGCTAATGTCTAAAACCGACTATCAGGAAATGTTAGATGAGATGAAGAATCTGGAAACATGGAGGTAGATGGCAGGAGAGAACTAAATGAGTCTGGAGTGTATCGTATAATTAAGTATCAGATTGGCCCTGGTTTCTAGGACAAAGACTCTTAAATCCTTGGAAGTTCCTCAATAACAGGAGTGTCCTTGTTATTCATGAGCCTCCAGATCATATCTGAGGTTAGGCCAACAGGATGACCCAGTATCAGGTCTGGCCATGCCAGAAAGACCAAATGATTAGAGGGCCGGGGCTTGAGCAAAGCTCTATCAAACCAACCTCCTCGGGAGAGGGGCTGGAGATGGAATTCAATCACCTGGGCATTATTTAATTCATCATCCCTACATCATTATTTAATACAAATAAAATGGCAAAACAAAAGGTCCAGAAAGACATTATCACCCATCCAATAAATCCAGTGAGACAACTCAAAAGTTATCCTGAGTTTCCTCTTCTTCCCTGCAGCAGCCCTGAATCACACAATCAGAATCTTTCTGTCAGAATCAGAAGTCAACAATTCCTCTCAATTCTGCTGTTGCTCTTCCAGTTAAGACCTTCATCTTCTCCCCCTGGACACTGCAACAGACTTCTACCTGGTTACGCCACTCTATTATCTCCCCCTGCAATCCACCCCTAGCAAACACTGGAGTTAGTCCTCCAAAATATAGATCTAATGAATATCATCCCTGCTTTTTTAAAAAAAAGTTTTATGACATCCACTGCTCTATGCTCTCCAGTGCTCACAAACTCCTTAGCATCATGCTCAAAATCTGCCAAAACTAGACTCTTCCACATTTTCTAATTCATCTCTGCCATTCCACTCACTCATCTGACAGTCACCTCACAAGCCCATTTACCTCTTATGAATCTGCCAAGTACTTTTAATAATGATATCATTTGGTAAATGATATTTTTTTTATTATTTTTTATTTTTTTTTTTATTCTTTTCTCTTTATAAGGATATTGAAGTCTTATTTTTATTATTTTTTTTAAGGACAACTTTTTATTGCTACCAGAGGGTTTCATCATCAGTACATGGTGTGACTGCAATACCTTTTCCAGACTGTAAAAGGAGCTCAGGATCCGGAGGTCATTAAGAGAAATACAGGGGGGCTGAGAAGGCAAGGGGAATAACTTTTATCAAGGAAATCCTAACAGTTTAACATAAAACTAGGGTACTGAATACAGTTATTACATGTTATAGACTCAAATCATAGAGCTGCTCCAACACTTAGACAGTCTCTCCTACGATTACTGAGTGAAAACTGAGCAGTTACAAAAACCTTAATTTTAGTTATTACATACATGTTTCCTTGGTGAGCACCTAGATATATTAACTTTATCACAAATTCTTTTATGCAAATTCAAAGATGCTTTCAACAAATCTAAGAGTATCCTAATTACATGCCACTTTTAAATTTCACTTTAAGATAAACAAAAATGTAAACGGTAATTATTTTTAAACTGTAGAAATTGAAATGAGACAAACATAAAATCAATGTGATAATATTTTCTATTGTCTATATTCTTTTTCTATTACCACCTCTGATTCATATTGGACAGCTCCCTCCAAAGTACCCTTTTCAGATTAACTGGAATTTCAATCATGGATTAAACATGGCTGTCACACTGAAATAATCTGTTCATTAAATTGCTAAAAAATAATTTTGGGGGTTTCCTATTCAGCAGAAGTCAGCATAGGTAAACATGCATAAAATTCATTAAGTACTCAATGGAGAAGCAAGCAAAAGGAAAAATAAATCAGGACACTGGGGACAGTTTTGCTAGCTATGAATTTGGAACTTTTTAAAACTTAAATATGATTTTTTACACGGGGCAAGCTATATTACATTCCAGCAGAAAAAAGATACAACTGACATACTAAAAAGAAATTTGCTTATTAAAAAATTTTGCATCTTTTGGATTTTTTATATCATTTTTTTTTTTTTTTTGGTCTTTAAGTGCTTAAATAACGTTGAATTAGCTGGACAAGTAAATGAGGGTTTTTTTTTTCTGGCTCACTT